TTAAAAAAAGCCTCGTTTGCCGAAGGTGTATTTTCGCGCCACAAACAAAACAAACCAGTGCTGCAGATTTTTTTTTTTTTTTTTTTTTTTTTTTTTCAAAAAAAAAAAAAAAAAAAAAAAAAAAAAAAAAAAAAAAAAAAAAAAAAAAAAACCTTCGAATAAGGAAAAATAAAAGGCAAAGAACTTGAAAGAAGGCCATTTTCAGCAGTGCAAAAATGCCGCAATACACAGAAGGAGAGCCCACTGCTATTGCAGCTCATCTGTTTATCCAAGGGTTATTTAAGAATTCCGCCGAGCAAGCACACCAAATGCCAGTGGTAGAAAGAAGGTGAGCCACATACGTGAGCAATTCAGCATCCAAAAACGAAAACACACGTGAAACTTTACTGAAAAAAAAAAAAAGATCGACAAAAGAAGAAGCGTAAAGTCAGCAATCAGTGAAGAAGACCGCAGATAGGACAGGCGCAGCCTCTCACCTTTTTCTGTGAAAACACCCTATCTGATTCTCAAAATAATAGCCTCCGTTGAATCTGTTCCCAATTGCATGCTATATACAGGTGAAGCTAGTAAATGACACAAGAGTCCAGGGTTACAGAAAGCACATCTATCACATATTTGCAAGCACACGTCGTGCGCGCGGTTCCCGACGTGCGGCGCACGACGTGTGCAGGGAACGACCCATCAACCCCCTCCGAAAAAAAAAAAAAAAAAAGAAGGCCAGGGGTCGAAAGTTCGAAACAGTGCGTTCGAGGGCCCCCGCAAAAATTCTAAGCGGAATGAATTTTCTTTTGCAGGAATGCTGCCTCACCTCGCTCCTCATTCCCTTCCTCGTCCTCCGTGTCTCCTCCTCCCTTCTCCTTTTCGTCTCCCTCCTCCTCCTCCCGTTCGTCCTCCTCCTCCTGCCCTTCCTCATCCTCCTTGTCTCCTCCTCCTCCTCGTACTTCATCATCTTCCATGCCTCCTCGTCTCCTTCCCTTCCTCGTGTCCTCCCCTTCCTTGTGTCCTCCCCTTCCTCGTGTCCTCCCCTTCCTCGTGTCCTCCCCTTCCTCCCCGTCCATGTCTCCTCCTCCTCCCACTCGTCCTCCTCCTCCTGCCCTTCTGCTTCTCTCTGTCCATCTCTTCTCCTCCCACATCTCTCCTCCTCCTCCTCCTCATCCTCGCTATCCTCGTCCACATCCTCCTCCTCCTCCCCATATCCCCCTCTCCTCGCCATATCCCCATCTTCCCGTCATACGTGTCCTCCCCTTCCTCACCGTCCATGTCTCCTCCTCCTCCGACTCGTCCTCCTCCTGCCCTTCCGCTTCTCTCTCTGTCCATCTCTTCTCCTCCAACATCTCTCCTCCTCCTCCTCGTCCTCGTCCTCGTCCTCGCTATCCTCGTCCACATCCTCCTCCTCCTCTCCATATCCSCCTCTCCTCGCTATATCCCCATCTTCCCGTCATACACCCCCCCGTCTCCCCCCCACCCCCCACCCCAAAAACAAAAGAAAGAAAAACCTGCACAATTCCGCCCAGGCACCCCCCACACGGAACTCCCCACGAATGTCTGGCAGACTCTGGCTCGTCCAGTTGCAAGTATGATCCATCATGATGTATGGGAATTTTCTCCACAGCCCAGACCAAGCGCTTTTTTCACACAGATCACATTCGTAAGACGGTTACATCGACGAGTACGAAGAGAAACATTGTTTGGAGTTATCCAGGCAAAGGCTAACCTCAAGTGTAAGCAGAGGATCAAGGGCTGAAGACATCATGAGGAGTCAGAGTAGCCTTCAAGACAGGTGGGCAGCAAGCATAGCATCAAAGTGTTTTCGACAGCGTCACAGAAGTAACATAATGTCCATCAAAGACCAAATGAACCACCACCAGCTAGCCTACCAGAGTGGCCCGTGACCGCTTGCCCGGCCAGGCCAAGAATAAATAAAATTACAAAAAAAAATCTGGGAAGATTCTCACACCCGGCCGAGCACCTGAGTGTGACGCCCGGTGGGATCTGACCCCGGGCGTGCCAAAACAAAAAAGAAAAAAAAAATCCGTTTTCTTTTTCTTTGTGTGTGCGGTTTTCTGCACTGACCCAGAGGACCCCAAATCCGGGCTCATTTCTTTTTTTGCGAGTTGGCTGTCCAGGGGGGGRGAGGGGGGTATAAATTGGTTTTAAAGGGGCTTAAGGGTTTTAAAGGGCTATCCGTGACCCCTCACAACTATTGGAGCACAACTATTGGCTATCCGTGACCCCTCACATCCGTTTTGTGCGCTTAATAGTTCTTTGACTTCCCTTTCGAGTCTATTGGCATCCAAGTGCAAGTTTCGAATACTTTTAAGTTTCAAGCTTTCAACTGCTTTGAATATAAAAATTTATCAGGCTTGCAGAGTAATGTGAGGAACAAGCCCCCACGGGGCCCTATCAGAACATCACATGTTCTGGGCTAAGCCCCCCAGCAAGCCGAGTGCCCGCCCTAAGTGAAGGCGGGCCTGAATATTTGTCAGAGGCCAAAATTCGACATTTCCATATCTGGGTATTCAGGCTCTCGCAGCACGCCAGTTGGTTGGGTAGACGCGTGAGGCTCACTAAGCTGTGTCATACAGTTGACCCAGGCCTTGACAGTTGCGCCTGGACACATACACACACAGCATGGCCGACACATTTGGAAAAGCAGTACTGCCTACGCACCTGCCTGGGAGCCCTGCACAGATGCAGCAAACAGCCCAAGTCCGGAGACTCAGGCCGTGCCCAACTGAACAGGGGCCCAGACCCTCAACTGTAGTCTCGGGCCTGGGCGCAGGGTCTGAGGCCCAACCGGAAGCCACTGGAAGCTTACAGCTAGGCCACACGCAGCATCCAGGAGGCTGCCACTTCCATAAAAGAAGTGAGGCAGCCCAGGCCAGGCATTCTGGCCAGTGCTGGCAATGCCGAAGTGCTGCTGCGCTCTTGCTTGATGCTGCGCTGCTGCCAAAGGCGCTGACGGGGTGCGTAGTGGTGAGGAGGGGCGCTGCAGGGCAGCGAAGCGCAGGCAGCCATAGCCGGGCTGCTGGGAGCCAGGGGGTGCAGCGGGCGATCTGGTGGTCTTCAGGGAAGGAGGCGAGTGTGGGGTAATCAAGGTCTGATTGATGGTGAAGAGATACATACCTGGTGCATGAAGAGAGGTCGGCTATGGAGTTGACAGTCATGCACATTGGTCTTCGAGTGTCGAAGTGAGCCTGTTGCGTGAACCAGCTGTAGGTAGGATAGTCGGGAAGAGTAGGGTGGGCGCTGGGCACCAGACACAGAGGAGCGACTTTGGATACTGTGTTGGTGTGCCCTACGGGCTTGAACATTGGCTCATTACTGCATTGTATTGCTCTATATGGATGGTTTCTCGGTGCATTTCTCTGCTTGGATACGACTACCTGGACATCTGTGTGATTTCACAACTTGGTTTTCTGTATATCGTTCACACTCATATTCCTTGCAGTAACATGCACAAAAATAAAGAAAGGGGTACTTAAGTAGTTTAGTAGTTTCCTTACCTGAGCATTTTCCTAGTCTCCCAGTTTTTCCAGCGGGGATTGAAGCCGTCTGAATCGACTCCCATTCTCCAGACCATAATCTTCTCCACTGTCAATGTTTCCACAGCAATTAACAAGTCAGTCATCCAACAGATGAGTGTGTTCAAAGCCCAGACCAGAGGCATTACCGGGTATGAAACCGAACCATGCACTCTTTCTCTTAGTGGCCTGCATAACAAACTGTGAGTCAGGGGCACAGTGCCAGTCCTCACTGCGAGGGCGGGACCCTAGGCCTTCAGCCACAGCCAAAAACGGAAGTAACCTCATCATGGCCAACATGTGAAGGGACCTCCTCCCTCCCCCTCAAAGGGGAACTTTGTGTTGCGTTGGGAAATTCACACACACACACACACACACACACACAGTGAGAGGCAGGGAAACACAGAGAGAGAGAGAGAGAGAGAGAGAGAGAGAGAGAGAGAGAGAGAGAGAGAGAGAGAGAGAGAGAGAGAGAGAGGACAAACATTGTAAACAACAAGGATATCACCTGAGCCAAGAGAATCGAAGAGTGAAATGACCAATGACACAATAGCGAAGGACACATCTCACAGTAGACCATTGAGATACACAAAATAACTTTCACCTTAAGGGTGTCATAGAGTTTTGAAGCAGAAGAGTTCGAAGGGAGGAACGCACCATCAGATGGGACAAGTGTCCACATACAATTGTTCAACTGCAAGATTTAGCGGAGGGCAAGTGTTGATTACCCTATAGAATCCTGTTGACTTGCAAAAACAGATATGGCTTGGTATTCCCTGTTTTTCCTTTATCGATTCCCATTTTTATTTTTATTTTTCTTTTCTTGTTTAGCGGAAACAAATTCTGCTCCTTCTATTTAATTCACCAGAAGCGGAAGCTGAGTAAGTTCCACTCCCTGCTCCTGACTGATTCGGCAACAATGCAGCGAGGCATTTTCTCCCTGGCCAAGCCATCCGGATCCAGCGCTCAGCTGGCGATCCTCCATTGATTGTGAACTTGCAATCAACTGTCATAAGCATATTTTCAAAATAAAATCAAATTAAACACGATCAGGCAGGTAGGCTGCACTCTCGTGAAAACCCATAACCCTTAGTGGTCTAAGTTGGTTGTGCACTAGATACCATGAGGTAAGGAGGTAGCCAAGCTGAGGCGAAAAAAGGTTGAGAAGAGAGAACAGCGTAGTGATATGGCTCTCCCCCACATGAAGAGAAGACAGCATTGTGTGAGGAACAAGCCCTCAAAGGGCCCTATCAGACATCAGTCACATCACATGATCTGGGCTAAGGCCCCCAGCAAGCCGAGTGCCCGCCCTAAGTGAAGGCGGGCCTGAATATTCGTCAGAGGCAAAATTCGACATTTCCATATGTGGGTATTCAGGCTCTCGCAGCACGGCGGTTGGTTGGGTAGACGCGTGCGCCTCACAAAGCTGTGTCATACAGTTGGCCCAGGCCTTGACAGTTGCACCTGGGCACATACACACAAAGCAGGGCCGATACATTGGGAAGCAGCCCATCGGCCTTTGCAAAAGCACTACTGCCGACGCACCTGCCTGGAAGCCCTGCACAGATGCAGCAAACAGCCCAAGTCCGAAGACTCAGGCCGTGCCCAACTGAAAAGGGCCCAGGCCCTCAACTGTAGTCTCGGGCCTGGGCGCAGGGTCTGAAGCCCAACCCGAAGCTACTGGAAGCTTCCAGCCAGGCCACACGCAGCATCCAGGAGGCTGCCACTTCCATAAAAGAAGTGAGGCAGCCCAGGCCAGGCATTCTGGCCAGTGCAGGCAATGCGGAAGTGCTGCTGCACTATCGCTTGATGCTGCGCTGCTGCCAAGGGCGCTGACAGGGCGCGTAGTGGTGAAGTGGGGCGCTGCAGGCCAGCGGGGGGCAGGCAGCCATAGCCAGCCTGCTGGGCGCCAAGGGGTACAGCGGGTGATCTGGTGGTCTTCAGGGAAGGAGGCGCAGTGTGGGGTAATCAAGGTCTGATTGAGGGTGACGAGATACGTACCGGGTGCATGAAGGGAGGTCGGCTATGGAGTTGACAGTCATGTACACTGGTCTTCGAGAGTCGAAGTGAGCCTGTTGCGTGAACCAGCTGTAGGTAGGATAGTCCGGCAGAGTAGGTTGGGCGCTGGGCGCCAGTCAGAGAGGAGCGACTTTGGATACTGTGTTGGTGTGGCCGACGGGCTTGAACATTGGATCATTACTTCATTGTATTGCTCTATATGGATGGTTTCTGGGTGCATTTTGTACTCTCTGCTTGGATATGACTACCTGGACATCTGTGTGATTTCGCAACATTGGTTTTCTGTATATCGTTCACACTCATATTTCTTGCAATTGGGCAAAAAAAAAAAAAAAAAAAAAAAAAAAAAAAAAAAAAAACATCACGAGTACACTGCAGACAAGCTGGCTTTATCCTGAACACAGTGTTCTTTTACTTTTTCGAGTTTTTCTTTTTTTCACTTGGTGCCTTCGAGAATGTCGAGTGAGTTGCGACCCAGGGATGTCACACGGCCTAGTGCTGCACTCTGCCACTGCACAACATTTTATTCAGCATCAGTGTTGCACACGCCGACCGTCGGCGGCCCCTGACTGATCGGCTGCGGACCCGCCGACCGGTCGGCTGGTTGGCACCTACCGGCCGGGGGTCGTCGGCACCCCACAAAAACAAAAACAAAAAAACAAACAAAAAAGGGTCCAGAACCCCTAATAACCCCACGAACACCCCCATACCCACCCCAAATACCCCCATACACCCCCCCAACACCCACAAACCGGCCCCCAACACCCTCATAACTCCCCCCAATACCCCCTATACTACCCCTATAC